AGAGCCCCCGGAGCCGCGGCTCTGCAGCCGAGGCTCGGTGGCTGTAGTGAGGGGCTCGCATCCTTGCATCAGCTGCCACGGAAGGGCAGCTGCAGGCGGCGCACTGCAAAATCCTTCAAAACAAAGGGCCAGGCCGCCCCCACACAGCCCCCTCCCATTCCAACAGCCCAAGCCATGGCTTTCCCCCAATGCCATAGAGAAGGAAGAGCTAGGAGGCTTCAGAAGCAAGTGTCTGCACAACATTTCATCCAGAACCGGACGGACCTCACTAGTAACTGCCCCAAGGCCAATCGGATACCTCCAAGTCCACCCTCCACCCCCTCAAAGAAGCCGGTTCTGGCGACTAGCTCCCCGAGAGATGGGGAATGGGGAAGAGGAAAAGCCTAAGATCAGTCAGACAAGAGATTGCACCAAAAAAGAAAGAGTTCCTGCCACGGTTCTTCAGCTAGGAAACCCCACGCTTCAGAGGGACCAGCCAGAAGCTCAGGGACTCAACCCCCACCCTGAATACAAAGCCCTTGACCTGGAGCAGCCCCAAGGCACAGCCAGGCCACAGCGGGCATTGGTGAGAGCCCCAGGTGCAGAGATCATGTGTCTTGGCCCTAACGGATGTGGAAGGCAAGTGGCAGAACAGACAAGAAAAGGAAGCCAAGACGCTATGCTGGGAAGAGCCTGCACGGCCGTCTTCATCCGAATGACTGCTCCACAGGCCGATACACTCGACCAGAGCCCCCCCACATAGCAGGGGCTGCAGCCAGGCACTGCGCCTCCAGCTCAAACACAGGGGGCTGGGCCTCCTGCCACAGACCGCCCCGAAGGAGAAGCACAGCCGTGGCCTGGCAGAGGCCAGGCTCGTGGCCACAGCCGGACTGAGCTCTCTGCAGCAAGGAAGGCAGAGCCTCGAGTGGGAGACCCTACCGTACCATAACACCAACATCAGCGCACAACAGCAGCAGGGATGCAGGCTAGGGGCTGCAGACCCTGCGGACAGCGGTTACCCGCGACAGACCTCAGGACCTGCCTGCGCCCTCCAGGGACCGGGCAGCCACGGCTCTGGCACGTCGAGGGGCGGCCAGGAGCTGCTGCCTGCACCAAGGTTATTTAGTCATTTCAAGCGCACTCAGAAACCACGTAAGGAAGGAAGTTTGCTACTTACCCAGCTCGCCACCTGGGAGAGAAAGGTTAAGGGGCAGCGTGCAGTCGGGTACTCACCGATGAGGAGCGGCTAAAGGACCGGCTGCGGCGCCGTCTCCGCCTGTGCTTACGCCGGCTGCTCTTGCAGCTGCGGTAGCTGCCCTCGCGGTCCCGGGAGCGCCGGTACTCATAGGAGTGGCGGTACTCAGCGTCATAGTAGGCCTCCCCGCGCTCGCGGCTGTAGTCGTTGCGCCGGTAGCTGTCGCAGTAGCGCCTGTCGTAGGCTCGCCGGTCCACCGAGTGGTCTTCGTAACTAGGGCGGGAGGAGAGGGGCTGGGGGCCGGCCCCCCGCGGCG